CGGAAAATGGCCACGGACCATGTGTCAGGGGCAGAAAAATGGCCGCGGACCGTGTCAGGGGCGGAAAATGGCCACGGACCATGTGTCAGGGGCAGAAAAATGGCCGCGGACCGTGTCACAGGAGGGAAAATGGCCACGTATCCTGCTCGTATCCCGAGGCAGAGTTCGCAAATCGAGGTAAGTTTTTGCGGCCGGAGCTGGTTGTAACCCGAAAAGTTCGTTAACAGAGGTGTTCATAACCCGAGGTTCCACTGTATTAGCTGTGTTTGAAAGCAGGGTAAATAACAGAATATATTCTGTTTCATATTGCAGAGCTTATATGCTTTTTTTGATATTAGGCTGAAATGCTACTTTTCTAATGATGTTATCGTATAAAAGCAAGAAGCTCATCTACATTGGCTTAAATAGGAGTAACATTATTTGATCTATGACAGGGCCACAACTAACTCTCTATACATACTAAACTGCATATTTTGTCTTTGAGTATGTGGCTACATTTTTAAGTATGTTCTTCTTTTACAGTCATATTCTATGGAATATTATAGATGCCATTCAGTGTGACTAGCTTTGCATTGCATGTGGACTGGACTTGCATATGAGTAAGTGGCTAATGTAAACATACATTCCAAAGTACATAAAGCAGAGATACAAACTGTCATGTTTGTTAAGACAAAAAAATTACCTTTTATGCAGCATCTGGAAACAGCAAGTCCCAAAAGCCACTAATATCAACAACAGCAGTGGTATGGTTGGTATAACAACATAAATTAAATTAGGAATTATACCTACAAGAAAAAGGAATGTCATTAAACCTTTAAAATATATAAGGACTTGTTCTCTGTAATAAAAATAGTAAATATATGAATATTTTAGTTTGCTTGAAGTGCAATACCATGCAGATAAGGGTCTCTTAAATCACTTATTAATCATATGTAACTCTTTTAATCCTGAAATTTCTTCAGAGCCTCCGTGAGAAGACTAATAATGAGAGTAGTGATTTTTTCCATGTAATATATACCAAGAAAGAGTTGCAAAATGTACCTTAAAGTTGCTTGTTCCAGCAGTTCATCCACTGATGGGATCCAAAGAGTATAACCAAAAATCTGAATGTAGTGTACCTTAGAACATATACATCAATGTTCTTTTCATGAGCAATGTTCTTTTCATGAGCAGAGTTCCATGGTTTACATGAAATTTATTTTGATGAATATTCAAATTCATATTTTTAATTTGAATATTTCAGCCAGAGCACAAATTTTAAAAGACAGTTTTTGGGGGTTTTGATTGTTATATATGGGACAGCTACGAACTGGGCCAACCAGAACTCAGTTAAACAAATAACGTTCCTTAAATGCTGTGCAGTGTACAGTACTGTACATTAAGAAACTTGGAAAGACTCTATGTTTCCCAAATACCTTACAGACAGTCATCTACTTATGAATTTTTGACTTGCAAACTTTCACCGATATGAACAAACCTGTTTGGAACTCCAACTCCAACTTCCAATCTCCTGGAAGGCGGGAGAAGGCAGGAAAGGGTTAGCTTATGGTGTACCACATACATATACTGTACTTGGCAGCACCTGTCGCACATCAGAAGATTGAGCATGCGCCATTTTGGATGTTATTGTTCGCTGATGTGTAGTGACTGAATTACAGTATTTTTGCAATTAAGTGGAAGAGTGATAATGGGAAATGGGGTAGTGCTAAGAAGCATCAATCCATCATGATGGAAACAAAGGTAGAAATATTAAAGAAAATTTACTGTGGGGAGAAGATGGCCAACGTGGCATGTGCATACAGCATGAATCATTCCACCATCAGAATGAACATTAAGAACAATGAGAAGATCATGGAGCATGTGAAAAATTCAGTGCCTATGCAATGGACAATAATAAGCAAAAGGAGAGGAAAAGTGCTGGAACAGATGAAGATGCTGCTTAGCATGTGGATCAAAGATCCACATCAGCATTGTGTGCCACCA